ATCTCCGTATTGCTCTCGGAAGCAGCAGCAGCAAGGGCACTTCCGTAGACTCCACATGTAAGCTGCTGATTGACATCTGCTCCAGCCTCCAAAAGTAGTTTCACAATCTCTATATTGCTCTTGGAAGCAGCAGCAGCAAGGGCACTTTCATAGTGTCCATGACGAATTAGCCGCTGGTTCACATCTACGCCACTATCCAGTATGCTCTTTATTTGGTCTTTATTGCCACTCAAACATGCAGCAACAAGATCTTCGGCATCGCGCAGTGATCCTTGCAAACGGCCGCGACGAAGAACTCCGTCCTGCTTAACAATTATTCGCTTGCTGCCGAAGATGAGGCATTGTTTCGACTCCTACCTCCTCATAATCCTTTGGAGATGCTTTCGGCATTCCTTCGGTCGATCGATTTCCACGATATATAGGCTTTTGGGTAAATGCGTGGCTAGCGGCTGACTTGTCATTCGATTTGGGCGGCGACTTGGGATGGCAAATATATTAGAACTCCTCTCGGTTGTAGAGCTCTTCGGTACCTACAGATTTCCTGCTCCGCTCATTTTCATCCTCGCGTCCTCGAGACGAGGTATAATTGTCCATGGTCGACTGGATGTATGCAAAGAGAAATGCGAAAGCGTTCGAGGAACCCCAGGTCTGAAATGGCTTAACGCTTCTGTGTGCGGAACATGCCCTAAATATGAGGGAACAGCGCTACAATACGTTCTTTTGCCTCAAGAAAGAGGACCTAATATATCTAGTTGCGTGGTACGACATCGTGGCGAAGCAGCTGGGAAGAGAGCCGGTCGGGTGACGCGTGTAACTATTCCATTGGTGGCTGAGCTCGGCTTCGCCGCAAAGTCCCTGAAAAGAGGCTGATATACGGAAGCCCACTGCGATATTCGATTGAGCACATCACGAAGGCGCAGACTATTTCCAACAGAGGCCAATCTGAGGCCATCACCGATGGTGATCATGCCTTAAGACCAATCCAATCTGCTGATGTTAGCGTCGATGTCATGTCCAGAACACAGGTGTTTAACAGAATTACTAAGTATTGAATCAGAGACTCATGGTTTGCCCGAGGGTTCAATAGAGAAAGCGTCGAAACGAACCACAGCGTTTCTCCTCACCTCAAATGAAACCAGGTAGCATGGAAGCCTTGGTGTTCTGACCAATGATATTTATGGAAGGCACTTAATGAGATATAACCATTATTCCAGCTAGATTACAGTATATGATCGATTGTCCTCTATACTGTATTTCATATCAATATCATCGATTTCATGATAGCGGGATCCACAGACTGCACCATCATCGGGTAACTCTGTGGTGCGTAAATTTCCTCCTGGTTATCTCTGTCCCTATGTGTGGCCCGAAACCTGCTCTTCTGGCAAACTATAATGCATAAAGACAACAATATAATGGTCAGCAATGTCCAGACAGCATAGTAGAATCAGCTGCTGCCGACACCCTCCCGTGATGTCTTGATCTCTACTTCCCAAGTGAAACCGAATATCGTGAGGCGAAAAAGCCCATATTATCAAAAAGGGGAAATATAAGGGCCTTCTCAAACCGCTGACCAGCTAGAGTTTTGCCGTGGTTGTATTGCACTACTCCGCCGTAGGTGCGTATGGGCTTGCTAACTACCACATCGCCTAGCCGTATATCATCTTTCTAGCTGGGCGCGCCTCCCCCGATGCCCACCAGCAACCCATATTGGAGCCTAGGGAAGGTAGAGCGCATTTGAGCGACGACTGTAGCAGCCGAGGTGGTACCATAGACACCGGACGGAAGACATGCCAGAACCACATTGTGACCGCACATACTGCCCAGTGTGTAGGTGTTTGTATCTGTCAATGGCTGGGATAGTCTGTCTTGGAATTGGTCGAACATCTGTCTCGCGGCGGCCATCTCCAGCGGCAGCGCGCTGATCCATGCCACGGTATAAACATAGTGCGATCGCGATGCATGCATGATTACAAGGAATCTGAAAGTGATATCTGTGCTCCAAACTCATTTTTCAAACCCGCTGAATCGGTGCAACGGGGTGTTGAAGAGGGGTAAGTCAGCTTTGACGATGCGAGGCTAGGCTTGGCATCAGTTACAGTGTCAGAGCATCATTTCAGCCTTGTCCCTCTTCGTCGAGCCAATGAAATTTCCTGCGCGTCATGGTGTACTGCGCGCAACATGATGGGTTGAGCTTCCATGGTAGCAGAACTGCGGTCACCCTTGACGCAAGAAACACCTCTGCAATAGAATTAACTTGCAGGAAACAGCATGCTTGCATGGAACGCGGATGATTGTGCGACAACAAGGGAAGGACGGATCTGTTGATTCTACCAGCGTTTATATCACATGACCTTTGACTTCTTTGAATTATGTGTCACGTGACTATTCAGTGGGCCAACTCGTATACCACGTGACCACTCGCTCCTAGGTACTTTTTGGGCGTTCTGGGAAGAAAAGAGGAAAGAAGCAATTTTTCGTTGGGCTGTATGGTGATTTATTTCTCTCCAGATCGACCGTAATCGCCTGTTACTGTTCTCCCTTGCCTGCTGCTGATTCTGAGTGGGAAGGCTTTGACGTTCACTCGTCCGTATATATTCCGCTACCTAACACAGTTTGCGATCTAGCGACACCAGGTCTGGGACGCCAATCGAAATAGGATGTTATCGGTCATGTTCTTAAAGATAATACCAAATACGGCGATTAAGCCTGACTCCTTTGTCCTCGAATAGCTGTGGTGTCGTGGGGGCCTCATTCATTGACAGGGTCAATGCTGACCACCAAATTCATGGACGGATATGTATGGACGGACGAGGCTGAGATGTTATATTGTTATCATTTTCCATAATTCTAATCCCGCTGTATGAGGAGTAGCCCACTACAAACTGAGACATGCCTGACTCAGAACAGTGACTGCATGCAGATTGCACATGTCATTGCACCTTAGGCGATGGCATCATAGCTTCTTGGCATAACGAAATGGCTTGTGTTGTGCAGCTAGCACTGTCAGACAACCAGCACAATGTATGACTAATATCAACTTAGAAAGTGTGTTCTACATATAATCTACAGCTGCTGTGATGCCAATGCATGACAAGGCAGTCAAGACTCTATGAGGCTGCTTGGTTATGCTTGAGCCGGACAGGCGCACGGGAGGCGTTTGGGCCGCGATAGGATCCACTCAAGTACCTCCACAGTACCTCTTTACCTAGTAACCAGTAGCCACTAACATTAAGCCCAAATGCTAATGACGGGTGGCTTCAGGCCCCCGCATGGGCGCAAAACTCTCCCACAGAACCGACTGTTGCAATGATTGGCGGAGACGAGTGTCAAGTGATAGACAAGTGAATATCCATGCAGCCACTGATCTCATCCCACCCCTCGAAGATGCCATCCCCGATTTGCTGCGCTCGGCTACTCGGCTATCCTTCGTCCTTGGTCGACTGAACTCAAAGCAAACCGGCTAAGAGAACAAGGATCCCTGGAAGTATGACAGTATACCCGGGTTTCTGCGGCCGGGATAGCCCAGTCAGAGACCAAGGTCGACTATATTTCCGGGATTGTCTATATCATAGCAATGGTCTGCCAATAGGCTGTCTCATATCTCCTCTAGTATAGGAACTGTAGTGGAAAATGCCTCATTAGTCGACTGCGCGTCCAATGTGCGTCTCCACCAGCGGGTCAATCAGCCCTCATGGAGACATCTCCCGTTTTCCAAGCAATCTTCCCCAGAGAATATAAGACTGGAACTATCCCCACAACTCGTCCAGTGGAGACATTGTGCCCCCGCATCGCCCCAGGTTATATCCCTTGTACGAATACGGCTTGGGGAGAACGCTGCAGACTCTTTACAATCTCTCGACTAGTTTATTATCTTGGAAATTACTACCAACACCATGAAAGAAGGTGACTCGCCTTCCTCTCCCTCGGATGAGATAGTCGGTCCCAGAGGAGAGAAGCCTTCGGCTTTTCAACATGACGAGGATACCACTCAGCGAAAGGACATTTTCGATCTCGAAGGCCGATCGCCTAGCAGGCTGAACGCGGTATTTGAGAACCCCCTCGCCAACGTTCCTCGGGATAAACTGCTGCAAAATGTGGAAGAATTCTGTCACAAATATGGTTTGATGGACCACATCGATGTATTTCGCAAAGGAGCCCTCATCTCGCAGAATCCAACTGGTGCCCTGGACTTGCCGGAGCTTCACGAGGACGAGAAAGCCATTCTTCGCCGGGAGCATACACACAAATGGTCCCAGCCGTGGCAACTTTATTTCATGGCTTGTAGGTATACCCCAAAGGACAGCAGAGTACTCAAGGCAGAGCTGACCTACGACAGCCATGTGCTCGCTGGCCGCAGCAGTCCAGGGCATGGATGAAACGGTCAACAATGGCGCGCAAGCCATCTATCTGAAGCAGTTCAACATCACGGACCCCGATCACCCAGAAAACTCGAGATTTTCGGAGTCCATGCAGAGATATCTCACCGGCCTCATCGTCGGTGCACCGTATCTGGCCTGCGCCATTCTCGGATGCTGGCTCACCGAACCTCTGAATCGCTATTTCGCCCGACGAGGTACAATCTTCCTCTCCTGCTTCATCGCCGCCGTCGCCTCGATCTGGGAGGGAGTCGCCAACTCCTGGGTCAATCTCTTCATCGCTCGCTTCGTGCTCGGTCTCGGGATCGGTTCCAAGTCATCGACAGTACCGGTCTACGCAGCAGAATGCTCACCAGCCCCCATCCGAGGCGCCTTGGTCATGATGTGGCAGATGTGGACTGCGTTCGGTATCATGCTGGGGAACATCATGGGCGTCGCATTCATGGGGTTGTCTGACGACCTCTCCTGGCGTCTGATGCTGGGCTCGACCGTTGTCCTCCCGCTGATCGTCTGTGCACAAGTCTACTTCTGTCCCGAGTCTCCCCGATGGTTGATCGAGCACAACAAGATCGACAAGGCGTTTGCCGCGTTTCGGATCCTCCGGCCGACCGACCTGCAGGCCGCCCGAGATCTGTATTACGCATATGTCGGAGTGGAGCTGGAGAGGAAGGTGAACAAGGGCAAGAACTTTTTCACCATGTTTATCGAATTGTTCACGATTCCCCGCAATCGTCGGGCTACTCTAGCTAGTTGGATCGTCATGTTCATGCAGCAGGTAAGACTTCCAGTATTTCATCTTTGAAAAAATTTACATCCATCTTTGCACCATTTCTACCACAGTCCAGTTAACTGACTAATTCCAACAGTTCTGCGGCGTCAATGTAATCGCCTATTATTCAACCACCATCTTCGTCGATTCCGGCTACAGCATCCAAGAAGCCCTCCTCGCATCCATGGGCACCGGCATCCTCAACTGGGTCTTCGCTCTGCCCGCCTTCTTCACAATCGACACCTGGGGCCGGCGCAACCTCCTCCTCTTCACCTTCCCCCTGCTCGCCATCTGCCTCCTCTGGTCCGGCTTCTCCTTCTGGATCGAACCGGACAATCCCTTCAGTAGGAAGCGCGTCGCGATGGTCACGACAGGGATGTATCTGTTCGAGGTCTTCTACTCGCCGGGCGAGGGTCCCGTGCCGTTCACGTACTCGGCGGAAGCATTCCCGCTGCACGTGCGTGAGGTGGGGATGTCGTGGGCGACTGCGACAACGTGGTGCTTCAACTTCATCCTCTCGTTTACGTGGCCGATGCTGCTGGATGCGTTCAAGCCGCAGGGTGCCTTTGGGTGGTATGCGGCGTGGTGTCTGATCGGCTGGGTGTTGATCTTGCTTTTTGTTCCCGAGACGAAGGGTGAGTTTTTGTGTCATAAGTCATTCGTATGGGTGCTGATACTAACGGTCGCAGCTCTTACGCTGGAGGAACTGGACCAGGTCTTTTCTGTTCCGACGAGGAAGCACGCGGCGTATCAGATCAGGAACGCCGTCTGGCATTTTCGGGTTTGGATTCTTCGGCAGAAGCTCGAGCCGTTGCCAAAGTTTTACGAGGGGAATGAGGCTCTGACGGAGTCGTAAACCTGTCTTTCCTTGGCCGTGAGCAGAGCGATGTAAGTTTGGTTGCAGCTGTAGACGGTTGGATATGTTGCACTCTGTGCATGTGGATAGTCTTTAGACGCGTCAATTGTTTCGTTAGAACCTTACCTGGATCAGTATTCATGATCAATTTATTCGAGCTTTCACTCACATGTATGTTGGATAACTTCGTATCCGATACTTTCGAGCCGAACCATCAGGCTGTAGAGCCTTCTGCCTTCGTGACACTAGAAACAAGCTACGCTTTGATGATCGCAGCGTTCTCACCCCACCAAACAAGCAGGATCATCACAGTTCGTCTCGACTCGAGACAGCCAGAAAGTCGGAAAAGTCAAACGACCACCTCCAGAATCCGTTGCTGAGATCGACTGGTGGTTGACGGCGATTGACACCCGCCGCACCGGCTTGACCGTGGCGCGAGCGCGCACACCGCTGTTGTGCCATCCCCGTATTGAGAGGGATATGGTTTGGTAGTCTCAAGGCGCGGGGGACGTTTACTGTGGAGTTCGGATTTGAGGCAAGAGGGGGTTTAACCTCCTGAGTGGATAAGAAGGCTCTAGATGACTCTGGCAACCTAGTTGTCGCTCCGCCCAGGATACCGTTTTTATTCAGAGATCCCAGAAACGGGTCTGCGTCCGCTTTGCTTTCAGTCATTGAGGACCTATGCTCCTTCACTGGTTCCTCAAAAATACCCAGTTTATCGAGCAGTTCGTGGACAATCGGTCGGTTATTGCCATCGCGATCGACCTCTGGGAGTTTGGCATCCTGCTGAATGCATCCATATAACTTCCTCAACCCGGTGATCAGATATGCCTGGTGTTCCTCTAGCATATCCACATATCTTCAATTGTCAGTTTCATCTAACAACGAGGGAGAGGACTTACCCAGCGGGATACTTCCGTCGCAGCGGCTTCTTCTCCTGATAGATGCAAGGGACATTGTCCCCGCAGCGAATGCACGGTTTTCCACCATCGCACTGAAAAGTCAGCTCTGTTGTTATCACTTACAAGAACGAATGACTTACTCTGGCCTTCTGCGCACGGCACCGGTCGCAGGCCCTGCTGATCCGTCTCCGCGCCCCATGGGTCGCTGGGCAGTGATCGTCGGCGTCTGAGGGGCGTTTTCGGGCGGATCCTGACCTCATGGCGTGGGGAGAATACCGTATCTACAGATAAATTCAAGCGATCAAAACGATAGTTTCTAGTGAAACCAGTACTGTCCTTAATAAATGATTTATTCCTCTAATCCTCATTCTTAATCATCGATTTGGGTATCCTCCAAAAATTAAGACGATTAGAAGATCATGACGTCCAACACCCACTTACAGCCTCGCAGTCCTGAAAACCTGGTTATCATGGTTGGCACTAGGCTGGTCCACTGCGGTTGCATTCAATCATAAAGGCACATGTGAACATCAGTACCTCTGTAGCTACGTAGCCTATAAGGTTTAGAAGGGGCGCAGGATACACTCCGGTAAAAAGTCAATTCCTCCCTCTCAAGCCAGGCCTAAGCATTGAATTCCAACACAGACTGACTCGGGGAGTCGACATGAATCCTCCTATTCGCTCAACCCTGACATCGTGATGTCCACCTCTGTCTCAATACGTCTCTTGCTCTAACAGAATTCATGAATCAGGAACCTGGAACGCCCCAGATAAACCAGATCACTACCAGGGGGAAATGCAATGGGGGAATGGGATGATGGAGGATGCTTCCGCGGGCATCCGCAGTGGAGACTGGAATGGAACATGGCCAACCCAACACCAATGACTGCGAGCATATCTCCGGCAAGGTTCAACACTACATTCTTTATTCGATATGTGCAAGTGTTTGCATCATAGATTGGTTAGTCTCCACGTAGTACAAGGAGGGTGCCCGAATCTTGATTTCTTGACGCTGGATACTTCTAGGCTTGGATTAGACTCCTACATCGCAGACCATCATTCACTCACTTAATCTTGATGTTCTGATTGGATGTATGGGGTTACTGCGTTCGAATTTAATACTAGGCTGTCTTATTTTTCCGATGCAGATGTATTTGTCCAGTAAAGCTCTACACCTCTCTGATTAAATAACGTGTGTCGTATCTATGCTTCTAGATATTCAATTACAAGCTAGAATGGTATCCAAGAAGATTCATATGAGCTAGAAGCATGCGCTGACTGATCAAATCGCCTAACCGCTTCCAGAATCTGCATGATCACCGCCTGAGCACCATCATGTAAAACTTCTCATCTCAGCGCGTGAAGATTACAACGAGGCGTTGAACTAGCAGGAGCCATGTATATTATGGGATCTCTCACTACCCTCAACGCCGGAAGCCTAGCCGCCTCGAGCGGCTTCATCAGCTCCTCATCCTCCCAAACCAATCCGAACATCGGTCGTAGAATAACGACCAGGGTTTCAAGTCTGTCAAGCTGTTCCAGCACACCAACAACCGCTGCCCATTTCTCCAAACGGTCAGCCGGGGTATTCTCGCCATACCGGGCCGATTCCAGATACAGATGCCGGAACGAACTGAGTCGCGCGGGGGATAAAGCGGACGGGAGTTCCAGTAGGGTGCGCGGATTCTCAATGTAGAATGTATTTTCGCCATAGAGCATATCAACCGTCTCGTCGTACCTACCTTTCTCAACAATGGTCATTCAGCAACAGAGGATTAGGCATAACATACACCCTTCTACAGCTCTGCAGCAACGCCAGGACCCGAGCTTGGGTTCGAGCCTCGGACGAAGGACGCTCCACGACATCGTCAGACGTCCCCTTCCGTGGCGAGCAGCGGTGGTGGTTGACTCGACATCGTGGACAGAGCGGCTGCGGGCGCTTCTCGGGCTGCTCATCTTCGGATAACTCGCAGAGAAAGCTACGGAATTTGCGTGTTCGGGTGGTTCCCAGGTAGGCGAGGTGGACGGTTACGGGGAAGACGAAGATTTCTCGATAGATAATGTCGCGGATTTCGCGTGGGAGGCGGAAGAAGACAGACGCATGTTGATTGCAGGGATGGGTATCGGAGGTGCTGTCTGTCTTGCTCATTTTGTTTGGAGCTCTTCGGGGCATTTTAGATGGTTTCTTTGATGATGGTGTCGCATGTTTGCGCTTTTGGCCTGCCATCGGTAAACTCTAGCCGATGCCAAGGGTCGTCGGCACTGAATCCTTGGTTTGAATTAATGATATGCTCATGCGAGAAGATTTGACGCGATCAAGCATCCAGAGCCACAACATGCGCCAATCTTGTCCTCTGAATGTTTGTTGATAGATTCACCCTGCAGGATGCATGGATGATGGAGGGGTAATCAACTTGGCTAATTCTCCCCACGCGTTGTGTTCCCGCGCGTCGACTTGGTCCTTGGCAACCATCAGCTCGTATAAACAGGCTACCGTCAGAAACCTCTTAACCAGCATCAAAGTTCGAAATGGATTCTATCCTTGACTAATGGTATCGCTCCGCTGGTTTCACGGATGCTCAGCAGCAGGCAATTGCCGCAGCCCGGCAGCGCTTCCACGCTGCTAACGGCCCGACCACGAAACTTATCATCCACAGGATTGCGGTCGCAGTCATACAGACTTTCACTGGCAGCAATGCAATGGTTGAACGATGGCCCTCACAAATCCGCAAGCTCATGAACCAGTTCTCTCGATTTCCTGCCCAGCCTGCCAAAGAGTTTCAGACTTGGGCACGACCGCGGGATCTGGAGAAGCGGAAGCAGGCCGTCTCTGTATGGACATCGTTGCTGGCATTTCTTGTCTTTAACTGGAAGTCATATGGTGCAGATGGTGCCCTGGAGTCTATGGGATTGAACCTATCCTGGACTCTCAAAGACGACATTGACGCCATTCGGTACTATGCCAAGTCAGGACGGTCGCTGAAAGTTCTCGGCGAGATGGTCACTACCTTTTTTGTGAAGGTGATCAAGGACGCTACGGCCACTCCTCACACCAACCCTTTGACCTGGTGGCTGGCTGTTTTGACCCAGACTGAAGTCCTAGACGACCAACCCCGCTGGACGGTGGCAGACTTACAGGACATGCTGTCGTTCTCTCAGAATCTAGACGCCATTGATCATTATGCTCGGGTACTGGTCTTGGAAGATGCCTTTTATCGGTGGATTGATATGCCAGGCGTAAGTCCAGCCGAGAAAAAAAACCTACAAGACTCCCTGAATGAGGTATCTATTAGTTGGGTTGATCAAGATGCCGAGCGCCCTCCAGTCGACGACCCTATCACCATGGAACGGAGCTACCGCCAAATGGTCTCGCCAGAATGGTGGGCCTTTACAGAATATATTGAATCAATCTTTGCAGAATGGTTGACGGACCAAAGTACGGGTCCCATGTCAACGGTCATACTGTTCCTTCACGGAAAGCTAGAAACCCCTGAGTATAAAAGGGTGTACAAAGTCAAGATGCAGATTGAAGAGCATTTTTCTGTCAATCCCATGATGGCGGATTGTTACCCAGCTGAGTGGGACACGAAGGCCACAATCGAGCAAGCGAACAGGGAGGCTCGGAGGTGCATCCGTGAGGAGCTGGGACCGAAGAAAGCGTCCCTCAAATGGGATGAAGTGTATGATACAAGCGGCATGATCCGCATTCGAGCCATCTACCGAGATGAGGCCAATGATGCAAGGGCGGTTGCGTGGGTTGAGGAAGCGGGCATCTTGACTGAAGAGGAAGCGGACATCCTGACTGAAGACATGTAAATCTCATGGAAGCTAGCAGAACCACATTCCTGAAATAGATTGTTCTGTCCCTATTGACGGCAAAAATTCCATCTTCTACGAGTCATGCGACTCCGAGTCATGCGCCTATTAGAGTCAGGGGCTGTTTTTAATAGATTGACGGATGCTTGGCATGCCTCTTCCGCTGTTTGGAGATTGTTTCGTCCATGAATAATTGAGCGCCATCGAGTCTGCCCTCCGCACCAAACACTTGGCGCTCCTTTTGACATACAGAGACACGATTCCATTGCCGGGGATGACCCTGAAGAATGACCAAAGAGGGAAAAAATTACGAGGGAATGTCTTACCGTTAGACCAGAACTACAAACCCCGATTCTTGGCGTTCTCTTCCGCCATATCGCGGGCATATATAGTTCTCCATGAACCCATGTTGGATGCCTTCACTATCCCTTCCATAGCTATTGACTAGCTACTTCTCTCTTTAATTAACCTCTCTTTATCTCTATATTGCATTTACTTGTGTATAATGAAGGCTACTTTCTATCTCGCCGCAATCCAGCTGCTGGCCAGCTCCGTTTGCGCTCTTCCGCTGCATGACAGCCAGATCCCAGGGGATCTCGACGCCCGCTCTGGCAGCGCTTGGGCTGAGAAACGTCAGAGCACTTCGACCTGGAATCCCCCCTCTAATCTCGTCAAGCCTCTCAACGAGGTGCGCATCCCATCCCACCTCTAGCCTCGAAGCCCACCAGCTAACCCTCTGCACACATTCAGGTCTGGGAGCACGAAATGTCCACGTACAGCAACCCTATGGGATTCAAAAACTACGGCTTCGACCAAGTCATGGCGACCCGCGGTAAAATCAACTACTGCGTGCGCTGGGACTCAAGCAAGAAGGTGACCGCCGAACAACGCAAGCAGATCGCCGCGGCGGTGAACCGCTCCGTCAATAAGTGGATCGCGGGGCTCGCCGGTTTCGAGGGCTGGCCGTATAAAACCGTCGACGTCAAGGTCGTCGGATACGCCGTGCGCGATCGGTCCCTCCTGGAAGGCGACACCTCGGGACTGGACATCTACACCAACAAGGATGAAGGCGGGATTCCCGAGTGCGATCCGGCGTGTGGACGGTTCTTCCACCAGGACGGTGATTATAGTCGTTGTCCGGCCGGTGCTGGGCGTCACTACGGTATGCGCGTTCTCTCTAGAGTAACTACACTGGCTAACGATCGTAGACCAAAGCCTATGGCTCACGGATGGTTTCCAGGGCGGCGCGGGCGGCGACTGGGGTCAGCGCGTAGGCCAGGAGTATTTCATGCAGAATGTCAACTCGGAGAATATCCACATTTATCTGCATGAGCTTGGACATACGTTTGCCTTGGATGGTTAGTCGGACCCTTGTTTCCTTGGATAAGTATGTGCTAACACTCCATATAAGACTTCTACGACTGGACTCCCACCGGCCAGACGAACTTCATCATGCTGGCAGGTAGTGCAACACAGATTACCGAGTTCGATATCTGGATGGTCCGTGACTGGTGGCGTCATCTGAAGAACCGGTACAATCTGTAGATCTTGTAGTCGGTCCTGTCGTTCTCAGTGGGGTTTCCTTGTTATATTTATCTATTCATATCCTGACAATGCGGCTTCATCTTGGGTTTCTCTTGAGTACTGCTTAATCCGAGAATGAGCTGCAGAGGAGACATTCTGCATCCGGGTATTGACTTTATTCGTTATGTCCATGGGTAATCGAATACAGATAACTCGACATAATACACTTGGGTTCCTAGCCCCATCTTACCGCAGTTGTCGCGCCAGTTTCCACAGTTATTTAGCCTATGCATACCAAATACTGCAAGACAGTGAAGACACCTCTAGGAATACTCCCACCTTCAACACTCGATGTAAGAATCGCTACGCTAAAATAGCGTCCCATCACCCAGTATCAAAATCGGACTCGATCTGGTCTCCGGCCTCTTCTCAGCCGCCAATTCACGTCCAGCCTTCCAGCTCCCAGCTTCCAAAACTTGCGCAAGACCCAACCTCACTCCAGTAAACTCCTCGTTGTCCATAATCCGCGCATGAAGCTTATCCAAGAGGGCAACCGTCATCGCCCGCCACTCTACAATCTCATCCGCCGTCGCCTCAAACGCGGGAAGTCTCGATCCAGAATTCTGCAGTCCCCGTTCTTGAGCATCAGGCTTGAGGGCTAGAACACCAAGGTCAACGAACAGGCCCCCATTGCGGTACTCGGGGAGGCCGGTGCCGAGATTCATATTTGCCCAATTCACGCCGAGGAGGCGCTCGAACGGGACGGTCAGGGAGTACGCGAGCCACTGCGTGAGTTTGTGAAACGGCTGGATGTGTGCGCATTTGGACTTGTGAGCGGTTCGCTCAGCGTCGTTTTCGAGGACTTGGAGGGGCCATGCGTCGCCCAGGGGGTGGCCGTCGATGTGGGTTCGGGATGAGGGCCAAACGGGCAGGAGAACAGTTTGTAGTGTGGTCCAGAGGGTTTCATAGTTGATTTCTGTTGGCGTTGGGGATTTGGAAAGCAGGTAGTCTGCTATCGTTAGACTGCGTCTGTTGATAAGCACACGAGAACGTACCGACTAGGTTTCCTGGGCGGCCCGCCGGACCGAATATCTCTGGGAGGTTGAGGAGTGACCGGCCCAGGGCTCGGAGTAGCTCGACGCGCGAAGACGCTCCGACGAGGGGATTCGTCTTCTCGTCTATCTGGAAGCCGCGTTGCAGAGTTGCAGCGTCAAAGACTTTGAGGGCTTGCCCTGTTGATGGTTAGCCCTGCTCTCACTAGAAGAGGGATTGTACCAACCCAGAACGATATCCCGTCTCTCATTGTCAGCAGTCGCAAAGTCGCCATTCACGAACATATTGTACGAAGCTAATGCGGTCCCCTCGCTACGGCCAACGACGATATTTGTCCCTGGCTCGGTGAACCGCCATTTGTCACCTGCTCCCGCGTCAAGCAGCACCGAGACGAAGAATAAGTCCAGTAAACTACGCGTCTGTTCGAACGGGTCTACCCCGTTTCTCTTCCAATGCTGCAGTAGATTCTCAGGGCGATTGATACCCCCGGTTTCAAAGTGTTGCCAGCGGCCATGAGGCGGGATGAGGTGGTACTTGTCTGGCCCAAAATCGCGCTAAAAGCTGTCAGTATCTTTCCTGTTCAGGTCTGAATAAACGAACTTTGATGATGCTTATCACGTATTGTACTGCATCCTGCAGGCGGTCAGGATGGTACTGGAAGTGGTTCAAGCGATTCCCCTCTGCGAGTTGCAGGACTCGATGGGCTCGTTCACGGACAGCTTTCAGCCCGAGGACGTACTGTATTTCTGGATCCATTTGACTGCTACTGTAGCGGAATATCCTTGATGTTACTGTTCCAGGTCAGAAATGAGTCAAGATGAACAAGAGCGAGGACACTTGGATGCGGGGTTGTTGTCTGCAGCTCATTAGGTCAGCACCAGCAGAGTTGTATCCATTAGCTAACGAAATCAGGCATGATGAAGCGGCATATCAAGATAGTATCCATAGTATATTCGATGGCCACCAGGTTATTGGATTATCCTGTTAGGGCATGTCCGTCCTTATCTCCACTATAGAGATAAGACAGCCACTGCCTATCAACATATTATCTATCCTATTAAGGCCATTTACTGATATTTCACAGCCTGAACAAATTATGATTCGTGTGCACAAACATGATGATCACACCTTGGTACTAAACCGGATAACTCTTTTTCATTGAATTTGCGAACAAAATGCGGGAATAAACTGTAATAACCCTCAGCCTTACGCATACTCCCTGCATGATACTAAATGCTCAAACCAACAAAGACCCTGCATTTGAGCTCACACAGCTCCCCGTGGCATTCGTATCCTTCATCAAATAAACATATGCCTCCGCCACCTCCTCCACACTCCCCACCTTCCCCAGTGTGGTCCTCTTCGCCAACATCTCCGCCACCTCATCCGAAAACAACCCCGTCTTCACTGGACCAGGACTAACGAAATTCACCCGCAGTGGCTTCATATCCAACGCCAGACCGGGCACCATCCCATAAAGCCCGGCCGAATACCCCGCGATAACAGCCCAGTCCGGCTGCGGCCGATCCCCGACCGCACCCCCCGTCAGGATCAGCGACGAGGTATACCCCGGCTTCAACACGCGCAGGGCAAGTTTCGCGACGAGCAACGGGACATGGAAGCGGATGTGTCCAGCCTTCTGGATAAACTGGAGATCGACGTCCTTGAGCGGTTTGACGGCCAAGGCGTCCCCGGCGGTATAAACGATGTGATCACAAGAGCCGATCTCCTCGAAGAGTTTGACGAGGCGTTGCTCGACATCCGGGAGGGAGAGATCGCAGGTGTGGCCCGTTACTTGCCCAGTCGGGTACTTTTCTTTCAGGGAAGAGACGGCCTGGGTGATGCGGGAGGGGTTGGAGGAGGAGATGTGCACGATGGCGCCTTCCGAGAGACATTTGTCGGCAACGCCGTAGCCGATGCCGGTGCTGCCGCCGAAGATGACGATCGTGGAGTTCTTGATGGAGGGCATTTTGTCTTTATTAGTACTAAGAACAAGGTACCTGATTGTTAATGAGTCGTGGTGGGTGGTTTATATACCGGAAGGTCATACAACCGGGTTTAATCCGGAGATAAAGGGTGTTGATTCCCTAGAATTTTGATGTAATTTTTGCCGGCTTTTCCGGCATTTGCTAAAGGACATGGAAATTGGATGACAAATGGACAATAATCTACCGGCGAGTTGCATGGTTGTATCCACCTCGAAGACCGACTGATATGTCCGAAATACCGCCAAGCCGAGACCAGTGACATCGCAGATTGCTCAAATACCGTAGTCCACGTTGCCTTCTGTCAGCCAAAAATACTCACACTGCCTGATGGCGGCAGATAAGAATGATTTTCCTCCCGTAACTGCTACATTGTCCTAACTCAGCTCCGCGTAGCAAAGCATCCCAACCAGGCTCCCAATAAATGACCAATCACCACAGGCCCCATACTCTCCAGCTTGCCACATAGCCCGACCTCGTGGTCTTGACCCTGGATTTCATCGTAGCCAGATCTCCCTCCCACTGGGCATTCAGTTCGAATCTCCAGGGACTGTCTCAATAAGACTCGCCGAAGTTGACCGAACTCGAGTCCTCTGCACTTAACCTTGATTTAGCTTCTTCAGTGGACTCGCCCGGGAACAACCAACTGCAAAGCACCGACGCCGTGACCATACAGCCAACGTTCTTCGAGAAGGATTGCGCGACACATACTCCCGGGAGTTTCGAGTCAGTCGGAGAGCATCCACTCGGTGAAGTACCGAATGGCCCAACGTCCTGAACGTCCCCCGTCGAGAATTCTTGGTAGCCACTCTCGAAGATGGGGACGACGTTCTTCTCCTTGACTAGGTCCGCTACCTCGACCCAGTGGAATTCTGTAAGGTCTGTGCCGGTAGGATTGCGCGCTCATGCATGGAGGACAATGATGTCGTTCGCTTCGGCCACAGTGGCGAGGAAGGAAGGCATGGCCTTGATGTCCCCAGGTCAATCAGGGAGGTGAACCGGTGATGCCCTCACGCGGAATTTGTTAGCCGTTGCATTGATATCTGACGCAGGCATTGGATGCTGGAAGATCAGTAATGTCTTCAATTCTGCAGAATGCTATGGGCGACTGTTTGTTGCTGTTGTAGCGGCTCGCAAAAAAAGAAAAAGAATACTGGTAAGAGTGGGGTTCGAACCCACGAGACTCTCGTCAAGCGGGATTTTAAGCATAAACTTAAACCGCTCGCCTTAACCACTCGGCCATCTTACCGCCTTAATTTGTGAAAGGTATTATGTTCGTTCCATAATCCGCCTGCTTATCCCACCTCCTCACCTTTTGAATAACTATATATTCGCAGTTAGCCAGCCAGCAGGAATCTCGCTATTGAAGAGCTACCATACTGTAGATACAAATAGCTTCAGGACAGGAATGACTAATCAGATTCGAGTCATTGAATTTCTTATCTTGCTAGCTACATCGATCCAGGGCATCTAGAGGGGTACTTATACCTTTCTACAGCTTCACTTCTTCCCGTTTAGGTCGGCAGGATCTGTTTATCGAATGGTCATCCCCCTGCTCACCCTGGCAGGTGTCGTAGCATCTAAGTCAATTTCTGCCAAGGCTCCCTTTGACCGGTAGATGCCGACAAAATCATCATCATCACATTCTCATCATATTCACCCTGTAGAATGCAACAATCTGTTAGTATGTCCATCATCCTAGGGTACTCGGCATCTCATCTTGTTCCCTCGTTTTCACCCCTTTTCGTTGTTTCTCGCGTTTTCGTTCCGTTCGTCCACCTGAACGCTGAACCATGGGTGACCGTTGGCATCCAGCATCGTTTTACACGAACGTTGCCGGTAGATTGCCGGTAGACGCGTAACGCGTTCATGCCTTTCCCCTCGTCTAAGCCCCTTCTCCGTTAATCCAATGACACGCAAACGACCTTCGTTCAGCCGAACTAGCTCACCAGATCACATAGTATCGCGTCCTCTCGGATTCGCCAGACACCAGTCAGCTCGATCAGGATACGTTTATCGTATCGACTACGTTGTCAATCAGCTAAAGGTACTTCCTTCTCCTTCACGTCTGCAGCAGAACGACCCCTCAGGCTGGGACATCGACAGAAGCGTTCTCAACAGAGCCGCTCCCTTTTTTTTCACGTCTTTATGGCTGGATCGTCGCTACAGACGAATACCAGCAGTGGATCAGCGACCAGCCAGCGGGCGCGTTGCCGATTTTAGAGAAACCACTTGGACGCTCGCGATCACGTCCATGCAACTCAAGCGTGTCCACGGCTGCTTCAAACACGGCTCAGAACCCCGCTTTTGAAGCTACTTTCCCCTTGAACGCCCACATACCTGGTGCTTACCTTTCTCCTCGAGTGAACACCTCAGACTCAATGGCTACGCCAGCGACCCCGAATCAGGAAGACACGCCGGAGCCAACTCCTCCGGTCACGGTCCGACCAGCAAGGACACGTCCTCGTCCGGGGCGCTTTCCTAATCCGCGTCACCTCTTTGGTCAGGTCGAACCTCCCGACGTGCTCGAACCATTGGGATCAACGTCAACATTACCTTCAACCACGCGACCGTTTTCCGCAGGCGCATCGTCCTCAACAGAGTCAGACTCAATCCCAGTGTCGGTCATGGAGTTTTACAGTAACAATGACGCTGCTGCCTCGCAACCAGCCGCCCATGCGTGATATACTCAACACCGGCCGACCCCGGCTAGCATTCGTTGCCAAGAGGACTGTTCGCAGCAAGTTCCAGGAACAGTGGGCTAAGCAGTGGAAGATTGGCCGCACGGCTGCGCTGACCATACGCATAATCAAGGCTTTAATGAGGAAGATCTTGAAGCTTTACAACAGCCTTACTAAGGTGTGCATACCTATTATTATACAGCTGTATATATAGTGGACTAGGCTGGCCCACTTTGCCTATAAGATTAAGGCTAAAGACAGTAATCAGTATAACTGTAGAGAGGAGTTCCAGATTTCTAAACATATTCATGCTTGAGTGCTCCCACCTCAAGCAGCTGCTGCGCAGGCAGATGCTAACAATATTGCTGCACGTGGATCCAGTAAAGAGGATAAGCTAACGGACTATAATATAACGATATCAGACCCGCAGGCAATCTGCTATATTGGTGAATTCTTGCTGCAAGCAGGCTTGCTCAGGCAGGTTAGCCAGGTCAAATTTGAACTTGAGCCAGATCCTGATTTAGGCCAGGAACACGTAGGCCTCCGGGCCATGGGGGTAGACGCTGAAGACATTAGGTAGAAGCCCCAGTCACGCCCCGTTTGAGTCACCGGGGAAGGCTACGCAATCCCAGTCAGAACAGATATGTAGGAAGCAGGAGGTGGCTAATAAGGAAGATAAAAGGATGGTAACTTGCAGGCAGCATTCGTCTGTTCAATATTAATAGCGAAATCATCAGAAGCCTAGAGTAGCCTTACAAATGGACCTTGACATAAGGTGGCTGATAGAGGGTTCTAGATTCCCTGTCCAAGAACCTCTTCTGTCAGATTTCGTTGGAATTTTTTTGGTAGTTGGTTCATTTCTAATTTAAGGTTTAACTTTACTGTTACTATCAGACCTCACTGTATTAGATTTTAAATGTTAAACGCAATGTAATATTCACAGCTCGCTGTTTGCGGCAGTCTTGAATCACAGTGTGCGTAGAATACGGCTGAGAGTATAATAAATGAGCCAATAGCATTTCAAGTCCATCGATACTGTAGCACACCTATTTCGTACCCGCTACTGAATCTGAACTAGTTGCATGACATTACGTATCATATCATCGCTTGTCTAGGTGCGGCCTTCCCGTGTCCAAAAGTGGAACCAGTTTGGTAAGTACGGCACGAGGCAATGCTTGCCATACGGAAGGATCTAACTCCGTAGACTCGTCATCTTGGCTCCAGATCGGGAGCCTCGGTAACTCTGACCCAGTATAAGCTGGCACGTATGATCTGCTCGTACGATCCGCTCCTGTCTGGCTAGAATGCAAATGACGTCAAACTAGAACATGGGAACTTAGACATGATGCAGCATTCCAGCTGAGCCCTCTCCTCGGATTACTGGCTTCAATATCTATAAGTACCTGCGTCGGTCCTTGTGTTTTCTGCGTTGGACAATCAGTACGTATTAGTATCATACCCAGGTCACTAAGCACTTCACCAAATAATTTCATTCTTCCGGATCTCATTCCGAAAATCCATCATGATCATCAAATATGATAATGATCGGGACGAAGTTCCAAACCTTCCACGGGGAGGAGGGAGTATTGAGTATGACAACGATCGGCAGAAAGTTAAAGACGAGCTTGCACAGGGCGGGTGGGATGTCTATTACGGAGACACTGTTGAACTTTGGGAAGTTGCTATCGGTCTTCTGTCGACCGTTATCTCAGGTGGTGTCTCTCTTGCGGCATGGGTTGAGTGGCAAATTTCTGTTCAACTCGCCAAGTTTGGGCAGTCTCTGGGTGACATAGACAGTGATATTGTCAAACAGGTGATCCAACTCTTGGAAAATGTTATCAAGTCTGGCCAAGAAGGTGAATGGAATATGGGTGGTCTCGGTGTCAAGGCAGGAGTGGCTACATATCACTACTCGTTCAGAGTCAAGTACCCTTGGGGTGGTCACACTGGCTGGAACGCGCTTCCCAGCAACTTTCAACCATATATTGGTTTCCGCCTTACAGAGAAGCTTCCAAAGGAAGGAGGAGCACCGCCGGTAACGCCAAAGAAAGCTCCAGTTTCGCTTGCGAGCACCCTTCCTATCGCTCCTACGCCTTGACTCATCGTCACGTAGGAGGATACCTACTCATGATTTAGATGTCCTAGCAGTGACTTACGAAGAGCAGTGGTTCTTTATTCTCCTGACAATTGTCTCTCCGGGGCAAATTTTTGATTTTTTACCTGCCTTAGTATAGGTTTCCCCTATTCAGTTAGGTTTCCCTATACTACAATGCGAATACAGAGGCTCGTATCCAGACCACCTTTTATATATAAAACAGCCATCGTGGTAGTACTGAACAGGCTCCTAGTTTTTTTTAAAGATCATATACACAGGTTTCGCCGAGAAGGTAGTTTCGACTTATTACTCGGCCAATTGACCATGCCTAATGATGTGGACGCATGTCGCTGTCGCACCTCCCCGTGCCCTGAAGCAACTACCTATGAGAGCGAGGTAATGCTGGGAAAGAGAGGCTGGCTCGTCTTAATCTAGCTTTGCTTCACATCTTCGCTTCTGGTAAATCTTCTTACTAAAGTATTTTGGATTTTAGAGCTGTTTTATTGACGATTGGATTTTCCGCCAAGACTTGTCTGTCAGATGCTTAACCTCTATCCACTTCCCAGCTGGATATATACCTGACATATACATCACTGACTAGGATTACCTACAGTATGATGCCTACTTCTACTTTCACCAAAAGTTCGCCTTTGTGACGTGTGTAATAGATTATAATCCCTGGTATGAGCGTCTAAGACCGCCATTTCCCTCGTTTATAACTATGTTTGATGGAATTCGAAGAACCAGAACGACGCCGATTTACGGGTCAGATGCCCTCAGTCAAACGTACTGGATAATTTCTGAGATGACCAAGGAATTATCAAACCCACGTACCGAGATTCGCCGTCCACCATTACTATTTTCCGTTTTCTAGCAGTATGATGGATTGAAAAAGATACTCTTTTCTTACTAACTTTTATTAATTACTCTGCCAAAATGCTTTTCGCTTTTCTTGTTTTTTTATTCTGTGCCTCTGCCACTGCCCTTCCCAGAGAAGATGCTCTTGAAAAGCGGGGTTGGCGTCACCAGAGTGGCCCGGGTGGGATTGGGGATGGGGATGTGAGTGGAAATGAGATTCAGACTGTACATTTTGTGACAACGACTAAGTGGTGCTTGGTAGTGCACGTCCGGCCTGATCTGTTGCAGTGGAGCTTGCAACAACCTCAACAACAATCTAAACAACTCAGTTTTGGGAACACTGTGAGTTGGGCCTAACCTTCATACTTCTAAGTGGTTTGCTATTATGTCGATATTCATATTTCTAACGTAATAAACACGCTTCTATAGTGCCCTGCTGGATCTACTTGCTCATTAGGCGCCTGCAAATGCACGAACTTCCAGGCGCAGGCCACATTCCCCGTGGTGTCATTGCCACCATCTCAATATTATGGCTCCCAATACAGCTGACGATACAGTGAGCGTCTTGCTTAGGACTGGATCAGGGAGCATCCAGCCGCAATCTATATACCCTGTGGGGCCCAGGCCAGTTGGTGTTGCAGTAGGTGGCTTTCGTTAGGGAATAACCACATTAGTGTACATAACATAGGTGTAGACTGGTCTTGGAAAGTATATTCCTGACATTAATATCTGCATGGGATTGAATAAACCCAGGAGACTGGCTGATCAGTTGCAACACTCATTTACGTTTATTTCTTATTTAGATGTATGTTTTTACTGCGTCAACATTTCCTACGTACGGGGCCCTGCGTTGCTTCATAGTATCGCGAGTTTTGCTTCGGATTAAGGAATCATATTGGCGTTCCGGGTCATATTTTTGCTTCAGGCGGTGAAGCACCTGCATAGCTAGCATCTAAGTAGCTGGCTTGATCAGGTTAAAGAATATGAATTGGATTGGATTCTCCCCAGTTTCCCGAGTCCGGATCATATCTCCATCTCTTCCTTCTGTGTCTCGCAATCTTGTCCAATATAGACCACTCTGGAGGACGAGAGGAAGGGACCAACCGGGTATCAGCAGCCAGAGCATCCGAACATCGGCCATATAGTCGGTGATGCACGCAGAACTTCGCCAGATATTTGAGAGGAGTTTCCGATGAGGGTGGTGCAAGATTATTATTGCACATAATCGGTCTTGCATGGCTGAGAGTCCCGTTTAGGATCGATACACACCATGGTGATATATAGGTCTTGTCCTTATAATCTGTAGTTATCCTTCAGCCCTTATGACCAACCAAGGTAGCCTTCCACCAACGAGCTTCACTTTCTTCAATATCATCACCAATCGCGACCTCCACATCGTATTTCCCGTGCTATTTTGCAATCATCCCGTTCATTTGATACTCACCCGTACATTGATGATCGGAAGAGCGACTCAGGAGCTCAGTCCACCGAACAGACAGTATATAGACCCATACCAGCAGTAAAACCGTGACATAATTGCCTTCGTCGTGGCCATGTAGGCCCTGGACGATCGGCCGTTCCGTGAAAGGAGTGTGATCAATAAATTCAACCTTTAGAGGGGTCTGAGTTGCCTCAACACAGTCAATCGAAAGGGATACGTTAGCGGGGCCTCTGCCGTGCGCGAGGAGCTCGGTGTTTGCGAAAGAATGTTTCTGATCGGAGCGAGCGACACAATTTTTTTTTCTGTTGCTCTCGATCCCCATGCACATATTCAATCCAAGAGAAGGTGGCTTACTTGTCTCACACTCGGCAAGACTCGGGCTGTCCCTCCTTCACGATAAGCACCAGCGATCAAAGAGACTTCCGTTAGATAGCTGTCTGCATCGAAGCCGCGTCAATCCAAAGGGATGATCAGGAGCTATCTGGGAGACCCAAGAGCTGCGGATCCATATTGTCTGTCTTGTGTGTAGGGAGGTGAGACCGACGGTTGGCAGGGCTCTGAGGATTATGAGTAAGCCAATGCCGAGTTGTCGTAGAAGACTCGCAATATTTCCCTCGGCAGAGAGATTGATGACATTATATTATAATATTCTCTTCCGACCGTTATGATCTAGGTGCGGAGTACCAATCATGGTATAAGTGGAGCAAAGCTTGCACATTCTCGGCGTCTGGATGTTATCCCAATATGGCAGTCGAACTGCGACAAGCACGTGCATGGGACCGATTAATTACGTGATCTCGCCATTTTTGATTATGAATCAGAGTCAAGGTTGGTTATCTTCTTTGTGAATTACTTTCATCTTTCATTATCCGAGATAAATGCGTCTTTTATGAAAGGCCCAAAGCCCCTCTGACGGTGCTAGCTTCCTCCTGGTCGCCTGAGTAGTTAATATGGACGGGTCGATGAGAGTAGGTTGGCCGGACTTGGCACGGGAAAGGCACCAATCATTGTGCAGTAGTCCAGACAAGACAAAACGAGATCCAGTTTAATCAAAAACCAACCAAAATAAAAAAGGAAATCTCAGATAGCATGTCCTGGTTTCGATCCAGGGACCTCCGGGTTATGAGCCCGGCGCTCTTCCCCTGAGCTAACATGCTTGTTGTTGAAGTTCAAGATTTGCATTTTAACTTATTAGCCAGCATAATAAATTTACCGATATAAATCACCCTAATTTGTACGATAAATGAATTAACAGCACTGGCAATAAAAAAGGAAAGAAAAAGCAAGTGTTCTACACTGTAATAAATTATTGAAGAATCGACTACGATATAGACCAATATATCCAGCTCGTATTCGTCCATGATCTCTGCGCCATCTTCAACGAAGTCAACATGTATATTCTGGATGGATCACACCACTAACAAACCGACAGGCACCCATTCCTGGATACTGCTTTCACCGCGAGGTTGACACCTGGTCGCATTCAGACAAGGTTAATACGTATCCCTAACCTGCCAGAAATATGGTGTATGTTCCTACGTCACGACCGATGGCGCCTAATTTCCCCTGTTGAAATACTATAGTGACTCGGTGATCCATATATACCGTCGAATGATAAAAAAAAAAGCCGAGGCAACCCGGGCTATTAGAATTGAAGGGACTGTGGTCCTGGGAACATCAAGATTCAGGAGTCATATTCTGGAAATATGAGTCGCCGAGTGGCGCTTATTATGCCCATAAGACGGTCTCCCCTGAGCTCGTTCAACGAATTCGTATAGAGCAGAGAGCTATACAGATTACTGACGAGTATCTTTCGGGGATTTGTTACGGATAATTTCTATTAGGACGCCTATGCAGCGTCTGTTTCATCTTTCATGGCCCATTCCTCCGTTCCAATTCTGGGCCACGGGTAGGGAGGTAGCTCAGGCTGTAGCGACGCTGGATCGATCAAATGAAGGAGCCCAGAATTAGTAGAAGAAGGCCCCTTAATTCCTAGAACTAGGAGAAAAAGTGAGACTGCTCCAGCTAGAAGCTTGCGGAAGATTGTTAGCATCGGAGGATATCCCGGAAACGTATAGTGACGACACCACAGTGAGACAAAGTAGTATAAGTTAATATATTTCTTCTACAGGACCAAGCAGAAGTTCTGGTCCACGGTGAGAAAATGGCCGCTATTGGGCGGCTAAAATGGATCTCGTACTTTACCATCAACTAGGATACGGCTTATTGGTACATGACTACAAACCCCGTTGCCTATTCGGAGCACATCCGGTTCATTTAGCCGACAAGACACCGCACTGGCCAGTGGCAAACAGGATAGATCAAAAGTGCGAGTCAGACATTGAAACATATAGATGAAACCCCTTCTTGGCACCGTTAGTGACAGGGAAGCCAAGCGGCCCCTATGTCTTGGCAGGGTCTCGTTCATCTCCTGTGGCCCCATCGCTCCAACTAGACTGTTGATGCTGCCGCCATTACTCCATCCTCTAATCACCATTGCTATATAAGCCCTTCTTCCCCCCCGTTCATCATGATTCCCTAAGTCAGGACTACTCAGCATTCATCTCTCCTTGATTATCTGCGCTCTTTCGTTCTTCTCTTTCTCTCCTTCATTTTAGTCATTCTTTACATTTCTACACTCTTTCAAAATGAAGTCGACCTTCGGATTGCTTGCTCTGGCAGCAGCAGCTAAACTCGTCAGCGCCCACGCCACCGTCCACGCCGTCTGGATCAACGACGTGGACCAGGGTGCGGGAAACTCCGCTGACGGATACATTCGCTCTCCCCCCAACAACAGCCCTCTCACCGATGTCACCTCGGCCGACATGACCTGCAACGTCAACGGCAAGAAGGCTGCCGCCAAGACCCTCTCCGTCAAGGCCGGTGACAAGGTCACCTTCGAGTGGCACCACGACTCTCGTACTGCCGGTGACGACATCATCGCTTCCTCCCATCATGGCCCCGTCATGGTCTACATGGCTCCCACCGAGAAGGGCACTGCTGGCAACGGCTGGGTCAAGATCGCTGAGGAGGGCTACTCGAACGGCAAATGGGCAGTTGACAATCTGATCGCCAACAAGGGCAAGCACTCGATCACCGTTCCCGACGTCCCCGCCGGCGAGTACCTGTTGCGTCCTGAGATCATCGCCCTGCACGAGGGTAACCGCCAGAATGGCGCCCAGTTCTACATGGAGTGTGTCCAGGTCAAGGTCACCTCTGCCGGCACCAAGGCCCTTCCTGCGGGTGTTTCCATCCCCGGTGCCTACAAGGCCACCGACAAGGGTGTTCTCTTCGACATTTACAACTCCTTCACCAGCTACCCCATTCCTGGCCCTGCTGTCTGGGACGGCTCTTCCTCCGGCTCTTCCGGCTCCTCCGGCTCCTCTGGCTCCTCTGGCGCTGCTACTACTGCCCCCGCTCCAGCCGTGACCGCCGCTCCCACCAAGCAGCAGGGCGCCACAACAGCCGCTCCCACCACCTTGGTTACCGCCGCCAAGCCCACCACCACTGCTGCTCCTCCCGCCAGCTCTGGCTCCAGCTCCGGCTCCAACACTGGCTCCAACACTGGTTCCAGCTCTGGCTCTAACACTGGCTCCGGCTCCAGCTCCTGCTCCGGCTCTGGCTCCAGCTCTTCTGGATCCGGAAGCGCCGCCGGCGCGGGCAAGCTCTACGCCCAGTGCGGTGGCCAGAACTACTCCGGTGCCACAGGCTGTGAGGCTGGTCTCGTCTGCCACCAGTGGAACCCTTACTACCACCAGTGCGTCAAGGCTTAAGCATTTAATATCGAGTTGCATTGAGTCTGACCCTCTACCTGTCATATCCTGTATTTAATATGCTCCCGACAATTGACGGAGTCGTCAGCGATTCTAGCTAGAGATATTGTGCGCAGGCGCTGGCATCAATTGAGAGTTTATATTGTTATCCGAAACGAAAGTAAAAGTATTCCACAATGTAGGGTGCGTCTAACTTTGCAAATTACTGCAAGATTTCGTCCGTTCATGTCTTTAACCGTGGTATATAGTGCAGCTGCCCCGTAGCCGCCGCCGGCGTTTCAGAACGGTTTTACCTACACACTAAGGGCAAAATCCTCGACTTATACGAAAGACTTCGGGATCAGTCCGAAACCCTTATGTCTTACCCTGATACGATAATTATCCGAATAGCCTAAATGAAGCCGAATTAAGCGCAAGGGTCTAGACTAGGCGGTACAGAGTAGAAGGCTTCATATCGAGGATTCTCCACCAGACCTCGACTTCCTATCTTTATCTCGGATCGATCGGAAATGTCTGCCCATATGCTGTTAATTTCCAGTTGGAGTTTAGAAACGGTCATTTATCACTTGACTGAGTATACAAGCTACTAAATCCTAGATCTAGTTGTCTTGTGATAACTGGCAATACACCCTATTTCATTATTTCCTAGAGTCGTGACAACTGCGTCTCAGTCAATTTCTGACTACAGTGTAGTTGAACGTTGATAGGAAACACTTGTTAATCTACTGGACGTAATGATAGAACCCAGTCCAGTACAAGAAGAACTCTATGGAGTTGGCTGGAGAGTACTCAAATCAACATCCAATGCTTTCGATGTGGGAAGTAGACAAACTCCAGATCCGGCTGGCTTTATAGCTGCCATTATCCCTAATTGCTGGCATCTACAAAGGCAAAATATGATCATAATATGCGAACAAGACTTTGCATCAGTTTGTTATCAATGATTACTGTGACCTTGCGTGAGGAATTCCCAACTTACTATTCACTTAATGCTACTGAATTAACAAATCTCAGAAATATAGACTGTACACTTACGGAACATCCCGAAAGATGAGCTCACATTCACGATCTTTGCCTCCTCTGTTATTATCTGATGGCTGTATCCAGAACCCAGGTCCAACTTCGGTTGCAAGCCGTGGTTCTCAACAACTCGGTACCTTTATTCCATAGAGGTGACGTAGTGGTGCGTCCTACATCCTCGAACTACAAACATACAAGTCTACGAGAATCAGTCAGAGAGTGGTTTTATCTTTTCTGAACTACCCATCAAGCAAATCGTTGTCGCCGGAGCCGTATGGCTACATTCATTATGGCATTGCAAACCGCGACTCCCGCTATGCAGATGATCGACTCCACCGGTGCTCTGGAGAAATTACTCAACGAGCTCGATCACCTATTGCATAGACCCGCAGCTCTGTTCCTCGACGTCCAAACCACAAATCCAGAACAAGATGGCTCAATCTCAGACATCTCCCTGTTCGTCCGACCAATCAAAAAGGTCTTCCTGATTGACGTGCTCACACTAGGCGACCACGTGTTTGCGACTACCAGTCTCGCTGACAACTCGCTCAAACTCCTGCTTGAATCTCCTGCCGTGCCCAAGATCCTTTTCGACGTCAGTAACGCATCTGCCGCCCTTTTCAATCACTACGGAATCCGCCTGAACGGAATCAAAGACCTCCAGATCATGCAACTCGCGACGCAATACCCGCGCGCCCAGCAAGCTCAGGCTGCAAGCTTGGAGACATGCGTCGAGGAAGATGCGCAGCCTCCTGCAAGAGCACTCGCGCTGTGGAAGCAGGTTCACAGCACTGTGAGTCAACTGCGAGATCCAACGAAGGGAGGAAGCGATGCTGTGTTCAAAGAGCGGCCTCTCAGGCAAGCAATCCTCGATTATCACTTGCAGAACGTTCTGATACTGCCATGGTTGTGGGTCCTTTACTGCGATACACTCTGCAAACCGAACAATGCCTTCTGGCGAAGCATGGTGTTTCACACCGTCCGGGACAGGATCAGAGAATCGACGAATCCCGACAGTGCCCATCGAGCTGATGCCAGACGTTGGGGTTGGAGTCGGGAGTTCATTGAAACTAGCAAAGCGGGATGGAACGAGGACATACTCCTTGAGCTCCAGGGGGTTCCTATGGTGGACCGCTGCTGGCTCGATCCCACTTTTTTCTGAATTGCCGCTGTGGTTGTCTGTCTTGATATTGGCAACATCTGCGTATTTTGTCTTGCTTCGTCATGTGAAAGGCTATTTGCTAATACAAGATGAGTCACTTGGATGTCCAGCATTACCAACACTTGGGTAGAGATAAGTGAATTTATTGAAACATAAGCGGCTGCGTACATAGACTACCCTGCCATCGTCGCTGTCCTGTCAGCGTAGTTAATATAGATCTACGCTATAATTGGTCTGTCTAAAACGGTCTGCAAAACATGCAAAAGATGAAAACAATCCTTGAGGAGGCCAGGTGTGTTCCAACATTACGTTCATGATCTTTATTGGTCGGTGGAGATAGTGCACGGCCCCCGGAGATATCTCCATAACCTTAGCCATGTTGATTGTATGTACATTATTAATCCGCGAGAGGCTTATATATAGCCTTGGTAGACACCAAAATGGAGATAACTTCCAGACGACAGAAAAATCCTTCAAAACCTGTCACACATATCATCGAAAATGGGCTCCGTCGAAACTAACGAAAAACTCGCTGGCTTCAACTTGATCCAGACGCACTATAAACAGATTGGAGACCACGCCATCCGCGCCGACTTTATTATCCCCAAGTCTACATTCACCGGCAAACGCCCAGTAATCGTCCGCTTCCACGGCGGAGGCCTGGTAAGACATCCACCCCTTGTTGGATCGATTGCACGGCTAACACGACCAGATAACCGGCGACTCCCTTCTCATGGAATGGCTCCCCATCTGGCTCCTGCAGCTCGCCAAAAAGCACGACGCAGTCATCGTAAGCCCAAATTACCGGCTCCTCCCCGAATCAACCAGCCCGGAGATATTCTCGGACATTGAAGATTTCTGGGCCTGGCTGCATTCATCTGCCGTCACGGAGCTGCTCGCAACATCTTCCGCACCAACACAGCTTGATCTGGACCGGATCCTAACGGCTGGAGACTCCGCTGGCGGCTTACTGAGTATCTGCGTTGGATTGGCGCACGCGGACGAGGTCCGCGCGACGGCAGCTAGTTATCCCATGGTCGACATGGCGTCGGAGTACTTCCGCACAGCTACGAGCTCTGAACCCCTACCGGATGTGCCTGCGTCCACGGTGGAGGATTACCTAGCTCAAATGGACAGAAGCGCGATCCGATCATCGGCCTTTCTACCGGATCGGTTCGATCTGATGGTAGCGGCTATATACTATGGTGCTCTGGGACAATTCTACGAAGACGGCGCGGAGGGCGAGCCGCGGGAACTGCGCTATCCGCTTGAGTGGCTTGATCGGCCTGATGTGAAAATCCCGCGTGGAGGTATTGCGATTCTGCATGGGTTGCAGGATGCGGTTGTGCCGGTGGAGCAGAGTGAGAAGTTTGCTGAGAAGGCGCGGGAGGTCATGAAGGGGAAACCTGGTGGAGATAAGATTGTTTTGACGCGGCGAGAAGGAGATCATGGGTTTGATGTCGAAGCGCCGCTTGAGGAGGAGTGGTTGTCGAGTCATCTCAAGGAGGCTGTAGAGGCCTGGCTGGAATAGAAGTCAAAGCAAGGATTGTCAATCTAATTGATTTATAATTGTACAGGTGAAACGTTGAGTCTGGCTTTGACCTCAATGCCCCAGATATGCTTAGTTTATATCCAGCTATGCATAGAAATTACATGACATGATATTATAGCGTGGAGTCCCGTTGTTTGTACAGTATACAATGTCGAACATGAACGCCATAACGAAACTGAGGGGTCAGCGAATCCCAAGAACCTTGGGAGAAGAAATCAATCAACTATGTGTCGTGCGAGGAATTCGATACCATCCAGGCTTTGCAACTGGACTTTTGGAAATTGTTGCCCAAATTCACCCGTGCACTGAACGCCGGAGATATCGTGAGCAATAGGATTCCTGAGATGAGCGACCTAGACGAGTTTCCATACTGCATCTGGTATCCATCCGTTCCTCACGTCGCGACTTACAAAGAGCTACTTCGGCGCGTGCCGTTTATGAAACTGGCTGTGGCGAGCATCTGCATTTTGCACAATTACGGCGACTACTGGGATGAGCTTGACGCTGACCCAGACGTTAATCCGATGGAGGATGCTCGCGAGAGTCCCAACCCGAAGTATCTCTGTGATCTGGAAGCAAGGATTTTGGGGCGTGGTTACCGCGGCTTTGGACGCGATTTTACGTATTAATGTTTATCACAGAAGTTTATATTCGAGCATACCTCCACCCTTGTCCTTGACAATGTGCCCGACGAACCGTAGCGGACATTGAGATGGGGGTGCCTTACGATGGGGGAGGTGTCAACATGGCTTACATCGAGCTATGTGTCTCGGTACCGGATGAAGTGAAGAAGATTGCTCTTGAAAACCTCGAGAAGACTGGTGGATTCGACATTACCGAGTATTATAACTTTTTGGGGAGAATAGACCCTCCACTCAATCCACGGAATCCTAGAAAGACACGTCTAATCTCGTCAGGTTGTATTTGGAAGGACCATCCAAGTTCATTGACTGACAGTAGTCGTCAATAATGACTGTATATTGTGGTTTGAGGATACATGTAAGTTCGAGGGTTTTCATTGAAGCACTAGACAAGGATCTGCCGAGCATTGCTACACACGAAGTTCAACGGCGAGATGTTCCACATTGGACCAGGTATAAGAGTATCCAGTAGTCCCTGTTTACTGTCCCCAATGTGTTCCTGGCCTTGGTTACAAGCTTAGCTGACATGGCATGTTACTATCGAAGTAGGCTATAATTGTTCAACAGGCGGAGTATGGCTCAGGGCGGGTGAGCACTCCCTTTCTTTCTCTTGTAGTTAAGCACATGCGTGGAATCCATCTGTCAAAATCTCCTCCTCAATCTACCCTCTTGCCTTCTTTCTAGGACAGGAACTGTATTCGAACATGAAGCCGCGTGATCTTAGCTCTCCAACTTTATTGCCTAGTGGACAGACCACAGTTGAACATGGAATAAGTCTCAGCGCAAAGAATACGGTGCCTCACTGGGCCACCTTGTCATCACTGTCCTCCGGTTTCATCGCTGCTGGGGTAGCATCCTGAGAATTTATCCGCTCAGCAGCCAATCGAGCCCTCCTGGCCGCCTTATTTGGTCTCTTCCTGCGTCTACGTTTCGGCTTGTCGCGAATTTGGACCGCAACCGTGGGCGTCTCAATCACAACCGTGGGAACCGTACCAGTGGGGCTGCTGTAGTGCGAGATATGATTTACTCCGACAGAAATAACAAGGGCGGGTTTTGTGGTGCCCACAAGGCCAGGTCGAGTAGTAACGCTAGTAGTGTTTCTCACGGCAGTTGGCAAAGGTCGCAACGGACAACGGTCGGTCGAGTGACAGGTTTGATTGGGGCAACGTTGACACGGACGGACATCTGATGTTATCAGTGTGTTTACCTTCGAGTATCCATGGGAAGTAGAAACATTCAGCATACCACCTGGTGGCTGGAGGGTGCTCTCGTTGGCAGCGGAGGGCGACGGGTGACACGTCTTGTTTGAGGTGTTATTGTCGGACATCATGTACAGCGACAATGACTCGAAGCGAAGATTTGAGTGATAATATCTCAAGCGACAACCTATCTGTTTTGCAAAAGGCATAGGCAGCACGGAAATGGAGCGTGGGGATGGAGATGCAATAGATGCTGATGTCGGTTGGGGGAACAGTATTCGGTCAGACGTTCACTATTTTAGGAAGGACCGGGTGAGAAGTGATCCTATGCATGGTTCTCAGCGTTCTTTCTTCCTATAGTTACTACCAAGTTGTGACCGGCCCCTTCTTGAAAACGCACTGAACTCTGTATTGGCGACCAGCAACTGCGCTCCTGAACCCGACATAAGCAGTAGTTGAAGCCTTAAAATACTTGAATGTCCTCTGCAGACTTGGCAAAGGAAACAAGATGAAGAGCTCAAAGGATTAATCACTGAAGACATACAACTCATTTTCAACTATAGTGCGATTTAGTCTACAAATGCGCAAAAAACCGTTAAGCTTAAAAACATCATCGAAAAGAAGGAGCTCGATCTTAATAACCAATGAAGAAATGGGGGATCTATTTTAAAAGAAGGCAAGCTCGCTAAGGCAGAGAAGATGTTGTAGCGGGTGCTAGCTAGGTACGAGGAGTTTAGACAAGATCACGCGCTGACTTCTCCAAACTGTCGGTAACCTTATATTGTGTCCAAGGTCAGCACAACGACGCAGAGCAGATATACTTGCAGGCGATAGTCAGGTACGAGAAGAAGCTTGGTCTAGACCACGCGTTGACTCTTAATACTATCGGAAACCTCGGAATTCTACACGGTAAACAAGGCAAGCAGATATTCCAGCGGGCACTAGTCTATAGTCCGCTGAGTGGGCCAGGCTCGGCTATCACAGCGAATCTCCGAGCTCGGGCGCATGAACCATGAAGCCGGAGTGGGCGACACCAGACAAGTACGTTTCTATTGCCTAATGTCCCCAGTTTTTGACTTTAGCGTGCCCTAGCGTCGCGTGGCATGTCTCCTAGTCTCGCTTCTCCACTGAAGGAAAAAATGTACTTCCCAGGGCGTAGTCTAGTCTTCTGAGTCATATATGCCCTGAGCCATATTAACTCGCTCCCATCTAAATAAAAGGCCCAAAACAATTCCGAGCTGCAGCTATACTTTTGCAGTCGGCAACATGTCTACCACCACGACTGCGACGATTACACCCGTCAACTCTCTCGTATTGGAAGCGACGAATCTCCGGTCCACAGAAAATGCACGGCCAGCGCCCGGAGAATCGCAGTTGCGAAAGGTCGTGGTACTCAGCCAGCTTTTCGCTGTAACTCTAACGGCCAGCGTGATCAATGGGCTGGTGATCGTCGGTCTGCCAACTATCACGAAGGATCTTCAACTTCCCCCTTCTCTATCCTTCTGGCCTTCATCGGTGAATAGCCTGGCGACCGCCTCGACCCTTCTCTTGGCGGGGTCCCTGGCAGACACGGTTGGTCCACGATGGGTCGAACTTGTCGGCTCCTTTGCCAGCGGCGCATTGATGATCGGTCAAGGTGTGGCTCGCACCGGGCAGGAGTTGGTGGTTTTGAGGGCTCTCCAAGGTGTCGGCCTCGCGATGCACTTGGCCTCTTCCATCTCCATCGTGACGCAACTTCTGCCTCCAGGAAGAAGCCGCAATGTCGCGTTCTCGTGCTTGGGGGTCAGCCAACCCCTTGGATTTTCTTTGGGCCTGGTTGTCGGGGGCGTGCTGGTCGACACTATCGGTTGGAGATCGGGGTGGTTTCTTTCTGGCGGTATCACGCTGGTATTCTCGATTGCCGGACTCTGGGCTTTGCCTCAGAGTAAGAGCATACAGTACTCGGATCTTCTTCACAACATTAGGACTAAGATCGATTGGGTTGGCGCTGGACTGGCCTCCGCATTCATGGCATTGCTCTGTTATCTCCTGGCGTAGGTCATCCCTGCCATGGCATTGTTCGAAGGCTAACCAGAAGTACAGTATTGTGAGCGCGAACCCATCACGGATCAAATCTGCCGATAGCATCGTCATGCTGTGCCTGGCTGCCCTTGCACTTCCGTCGTTTATCGGCTGGGTCCATTACCAAGTCAAGAGGAACAAGCCAGCTCTCATTCCCAATGCACTGTGGAAGAACATAGCCTTTTCAAGCGTCTGCGCTACCCTCGCCATCTCAACAACAGTCGTCAATTCAATGGAGCTCTTTGCCAGCTTATTGTAAGCCTTCCCTCCATCTCCCCTATGGCCACTCATTAACCCGACCCAGTTTCCAAGAAGTCCAAGGCCTTTCGGCGCTGGACGCCTCCGTTCGCATCCTCCCCAGCCTCATCGTCGGCTCCCTGATGAACCTCGTTATCGGCATCTTCGTGCACAAAGTCCCCGCCTTCTGGATCGCCACGGTGACGTCTCTCCTCTGCGCCGGGTCCCCCTTACTCATGGCCGTCATCCAGCCCTCCTGGACTTACTGGGGAAACGCTTTCGTCGCGCAGCTTCTGCAGGCCGTCAGCTTCAACGCGCTGTACACTATCGGCTTAATCATCATCACGAACAGTTTCCCGGATGACACGCAGGCGCTTGCGGGTGCCGTCTTCAACACGGCCGCGCAGTTTGGGAGTGCCCTGGGCCTCGCGATCTTGCAGGTCATCTCGACTATTGTGACGGAAGAGTCTGGTGCTGACGAGACCGCTGCGCTGATGGCTGGATACCGCGCTAGTTTCTGGACGATGTTTGGGTTTATGGTTCTTTGTACTCTCCTCGGGTACTTTGGGCTGCGGAAGGCGGGTAAGGTTGGCTTGAAACGGGATTGAGGGCCTGTGGTACCTGTGTGTCAACACCATACGCAGTACATCGCATACTTGCACTAACGGTAATGGCTACCGTCTGGTTGTGTGGACTGTGGTGATATTGTGTGGGGCATGCCGTGGCTGGGCTAGGCATGTCTTCCGCTGCAAAGGATTATGAGGTTTTGAGAAATGACCTGGATATAGATGAATCGTACATAAAAGTCTGCTTATAGAATGAGATATAGATATGAACTTCAGTTGCCGCCCTTCAAGCGACTTCAAATCTCTCCTGTAGGTACGTACATTTCTCCGGGCTACCCACTGAGATGCAAAATACTCTTCCTTTAATCAAGAATTCCTGCCCAACGTTCTACGCGAAACCGTTGGGTAGTTATACAACAGCAGGTGACAGCCTCGGCCATTATTCCCCCGAAATCGAGACAAGTCTCGCCACTTCCCGAAAAGCCACGCTGCGGAGTCGAAGCTTGACATGAGTCTTCCAGTTTTCTAGCTCACCTAGACATCTTAGCTTAAGATTGTCTGGGATGCCTATTCGTGGATCAGTATTCTAACGATAGATCGTCGGTAGATCCAAGCCCTGCTTTTGAGTCCACACGCTCCATCTCCAACTGCATATTCTTATCCACAGCGGTAGTATTCACACTAACATTCGACTCTGTTGCCCGGTGCCCATCTACGCCACGTAGTAAGATTTAGTTGTCTGTCAGGAGCGTTCTTGACTATTAAAATCGGGATCATCTGATTGAGTTGTTCCCGACACAGTTCAATGCAATGTATTCTGTCATTTGCTAGGAACAGAGTGGGCAGGTGTTCTGCTTTCAGCTCATCATGCCATGTCGATATAATAGCCTTCAATAGGAAAGATGCTATCAGAGTAGTGATATACAAGTTTTAATGTCGTACAAAGCCATCTGGCATCAAATAGATAGCCAGCGCATGGTAATCCATTTTTTCACCTGTCCATTTCGATGCCGGGTACTACAGGATCCAAGTCACCAGCTTTTGCCCGCATTTTTTCGGACTGCAGCCTGCGTCTAGCTGAATAGTTGAACTCGACTGTATCCTGTCGTCTGTCTAGGTCCGTACAGTCGCCAGTTAAGGTCGCCCGAAACAGATTCATATACACCGAATGGCGTGCAATCACCACTGGACCAATCACCCTCCTCTCCAGTGCCGAGTGCATTTCTAGAACTCTTTGATGAAATGTGCTCGTCATCTAATTGGTACCTTTTCTCTAAGCCCGCTGCATCAAGGATCCTTTTGCAGCACCACAACGATGGTTTACGGTTAGAGGAGATAAATCAATTGATATAACTAGCTTGCATATCACCATAAAAGATGAAATAAGAAAAGAAAAGAATAAAAGGCAGTTACCAACAGTCGAATCATACACACAAAAATGCTTGCAAGCAAAGGATCAAATAGATGTTCATGCTAGTCGCTACACCCAGCCTGCCTTTGTGACCTCGAGATCAAATGTCGTTGCAGCATATGCGCATCGCGTCTGTCCTTCCTGCTGAACAGTCTAGGGCAACCCTCAACGAGACAGCAGTATGAGCGTGGCGCAATATGCATTGACTCGACATGACGAGATAGGTCTGCCTTTCTATTGAATGGTTTTTTGTAGGTACATCCCTCCCACTTGCAGACAAGGTGAGCGTTTTCAGCTGGTATCCTATGAATGGAAGCCATCAGTAGCAGTATCTGCGACAGCCCGGGGGACATACGTTTTGCAGGTAGTCTGGCAGACTCCGTCCTCGTTCAGAGACTGGAGAGGATGAAACTGACTTATTAAAGGTGGAACCAAGTCTCCCTGCTCGCTGTTCTCAATGGTATAACCTTGTGATTGTCGAGAACATCTGTCCACAGAAAGCTGATTGTCCCATCGCTGGTTGAGAAATGCCTCTGTTCCGGGATTAAGGGAAAGTAACTCCGGAGTAAATGCTGGTTGAGATATTGCAGATACTGGCATATGCCAATCAGATTGCGAAGCTGTACTAGGAGGAACGTCTTGCAATGGATATGTAGTAGCTGTTGGATCACTTATAAAGGCCAGTGATTGCTCCCGGACAGGGTAATGGAGAGTGGAGTTTCCAGTCTGACTGAAAGAACCCAAGTGGGTGTCAACGTTGAAAGAATATACATCAAGGGGTGGGTCTCCGCAGAAGAAAGGGACAGGACTCGACATCTAGTGGCTGAGAACAGAAACAAGAATTATAATCTCC